CAATTACAGCATGTGTTTGTTTGACATTGAACTCAGCAATTTCAAATATCCCTTCGAGTGAGCCACACCGATATATAGATAACACCTCTAGGGATTTTAAGACTTTTCCCAATATATCAGTACAAGGAAAAACAGTTGATAGCTTTTCACAATTTCCAACTTTTAATGATATTAGTCTGCAAAAGGAATTTGCATATAGTTTGTTGTACCATATCATCTCCAAGTTTTTCAAGTGGGTGATACTCAACCTTTCCAAGTTGGGAAATGCAGCCTACATAATAAATGAACGCATCATGCCATTGATAGTGAAAGGATAAGGACAATTATTGGTCCCTAAAATTAAAGCCAAGATGAAAGTGAAATGAGGAATATATTTACCTGTTCGTTGAAGAGTGTCTGCATGTCAACTATGCAACTTGTGCTTTCAAAATATTTAACTGTGAATCCCTTCAATTCAGGGCAATTCAGTACTTTCAAATCCTCCACGGATGGGAATTCAACAATACAATTTCCTAAGTAGAACGCAACAAGGTTTTGAAGGTCTTCTATCGATAGGTGGTTCAATTGGGGAAAAATCAAATTCTCTTTTTCATCTGCATTCTCTGTGACAATAATCTCTCTCATCCTCTTGCATTCCCTTATTTGAAGTCGTTCAAGCATCACCAGACCTCTAGCCACACAAGATGAGAACAAAAATTCCAAATTATCAAAGCCTTGAATGATCAATTTTTTCAATTTCTTGACACAAAAAGATGTTATTGAAGTGAGCCATTTGATGTTAACATTCATCCAGCATAATTGCAGCTCCTCTAGGCTTGGTAACACAACCTGCATATAATTCATTTTGTAAGAAAAGCTTATCATTTTGTTGATGGATAAGAAAAAGGATGGTTAAAAAAAAGGATGGTCAAATGGTGTTAAAAATTGTAGAATGGAGGAGTTAAGCCATGTACTTCTTAATCATAGTTGGAGCTGTAAGTGGGGGTGTCTTTAACTCCTTAGTTCTAGGGATTACAGTCATATGATCAACACAATTTTGGGGTGGTAGGTAGAACTGAGAGGGAAGTTTGATCATTATTGTTTTCCGTTAACGCTTGGACTATGTGGCTGATGGATATGCAAGAACAAAAGGTTATTTAAAGGGAAGGATGGATATGCTTATATGGCTCTTTAATTGATTCAAAATTAAAGGAGATCATTTATGTGGACAGCAGGCAATTAAGGTGGATGGTTGTGTGGTCTCTTATACAGATTGGTGTCTCAATCCTGCTATTTGTGCTTTGGGAATGACCAAAAGAAGAGGTTAGAAGATAAGCAAAAGTAGAAATTGCATCAGAAAACCAATGTGAAGGAACCAAGCGAAGGTAACGGGCACCATTCCTACCTATTTTGAGTGTGTATTGGTTTTGGCATGCCTTAAACTAATAGGCGCCACTAGAAGTTTGTGTGTGCGGTGAGATATAATTTGAGATTTGGATGCCAAGTGAGAGTGCTGTTTATAAGTAATTTTATAAAGGATTAAAAGTATAATAAACGAAAAATTTTGCTTTTGCTGATAAAAAAATTCATGAATTTAAAACCAAACAACTATTAAAACGAGACAAAAGAATAGATTTTTTAAGTAAGTTGTGCCAGAATTACCTAATTAAAAACAAAATTAAAAACTCCAAACTAAAATACCTCATCATTAAAAGATTTTTTTGTGTGAAGAATTTTTTATTAATCCAAAGAAACAATGTAATGATAGTCCCAAAGGAAAAGCATGAGAAATGACAGACATAGACATTCAGAAGGAAGAACGGCAGTAGACTCTGTTTGGAATAGTTAGGCATTGTCCAATTAACTAATTTTCTTAAATTGAGTAATTTTACTTTTAAGTGAAAAATTTGTAGGCATAACAAGCAAAGAAACGCAGCTGTTATGCATAATAGTTAATAATAAATAATGTTTATATTTAAAGTTTTACATTACACCTTTAGAATTAATATATTAGTAATAATACCTATATGGCAAAGGCATAGATTGAGATTTACCTAATTTTTTCAAAAAAAAAAAGAAAAACCTAATAATCATAGGTAGTGTAATATTTATACAAACTGGTTATTACTCCTAGGCAATATAATATAGCTCCAACAATCCCATTGTGTACATATAATATTTGTCATATATAATTAAGAAAACTAAATATATAGTTTGCATAATTTTTAACTGTTAGTTTTTAGTTTGCAAAAGAAATTAGGATATAGTTTATTGTGCCACATGATCTCTAAGTTTTTCAAGTGGGTGATACTCAGCCATTTCAAGTAGGCCTAGCAAACAGGTCGACTGAGTCAGGTTGAAATAGGTCACAGGTCAACCCGTACGTTGACCATGTTGAACTTTTTTTTTTCCATTTTTTTATACCTTTTTAAATCTAAAAGATTGAGTATTGGAAAAGCAAAGCAACTAAGTTCTATAAATGGGCTCTCAATTAATTCCAATTCTAAAAATTTAAGAATAAAAATAGGGAGAAGAAAAAAAGAAAGAAAAGAAAGACACTCATTGTTGTAGCATTGCTAATTGGAAAAACTAAGTATTGGTAAGTGATATGGCTTTCTGTGTGGCTACACAAAGAAATGAATATCCAACAATGATATTTTGGGAGGAAAAAATGAGGGATTTAGAGTGGAAATTGTTTTAGATTATTTTATTATTTTAATAAAATAAGATAAATTATTAAAAAAATA